TTCGCAATGCTCATCCATTTCTCAATGATCTTTGTTATTACTCGACCATTGGTTGAAATGAACTTCGCATGCTGTGATAGACAATATCACATGCATTTTGTGAAGTATTATTTATCTCTTGCTTGATCCAAGATTTTGTTTGCTATATGATTTCGTTTGAGCATCTTTCTTATACCTCTTTGGTAGTATTTCTTGTACGCTTCACATGATAACCAATTACCGAAGGCCAAAATAGCATCTGTGTTCATTTCAGATTCTTAAGCTGGTATGCAAATATTACCCTTAGGTTCTTTGCCTTAGCTAACAGATTCACCATTGTAATTATATTCTTAAGCCAGTTAGACATCGTATCAACTGAGGCAGGGATTGAGATTAAAAATAGTGAGTCTTTTCTCTCATTGTTAGTTCTCCAGTCCTTAATATCATTTATACAACTACTACTAGGTATAATAGTGGCTTATCATCATATCATTCTATAATTAATATTTTTTGTCTTAATTTTTTTTTTTTTGTGGGCAATAGAAATTTTTTGTTTCTTAGGCTTGTCAATACTAAAAGAGTATCTATTGTTTAGTTAAACATGAATTTTAATGATATATATTGCAAGTTACTAGGTCTTGCTGTTGAAGTAATTGTTAATAGGAATGTTGTTTTTTGATTAATTTTATAATCAACATTTTATTATTGTTACTCATTACTATTATATATTCAAGGCATAGAATTATATCAATAGTATTTTCTGGTAGAAGTGGGGGTAGATTTTTTTTGTATATTATTAGCATAATTATAATTATATAAGAATAATATCTTACTCTTGTATTGTTAACCAGATCATATATTTTATTCATAGTTAAGTGATAAAAAACTATAGTATTGTATACCATATTCTTGTTACTTATTTCTATTAAGAAGCTTTCAATATGATTTATAGAGATAAGATATACTAATATCTTCTACTTTGGGTTTCTTATTAGATTGTAATTGCTTGTTTTCTTTGAAATAAAAGAATATTTGTCTAATAAAATTAGAAGATCTATTAGTAGATCTAAAGATATCAGAAACTATGATATAGTTGTCTAATACAGTATCACTATCACAATAGTTGTCTTGTCTTTTATTACTTTGAATAAGATTTTGTATACTAAAATCTAGAATATTTGCTCAATCTTTTATTGGTATTTAATTCTAAGCTAACATATTTATTACTAAACAGTATAGATTATA